TTACAGTTATTATACATCTTTGTAATGCAAATGTGTAATCAGTTGCTTAATATCTGTCTCTTCTGTTTATAAATGTCTGTTTCCTCTTAGAATGCAAGCACTTTTGGCTAATTGCATTTGGTTGTATCCTCAGAGCCTAGAATGATATACATAGTAAGTATGGAGTAAATATTACAATGTCTTTGAAATACCATTTAGGATATTAGTAGAATGAAAGTGCTTGTAAATGCTTGCTGATTTTTTAAAACATCATTTTGTCGGGAATTTCTCACACTTTCTGTAACAGTTGGGAGGCATTTAACTGCAAGATGCAGAAAACTTAATGGACTTACCAAGCATGTCAAACTTGACTTAAACTAACAGACTTAAACCAAAAGTCTAAAATAGACTAGCTATTTACTTAGCCATAGTTTAAAAGTGGGCATTTCTAGTATTGGTTTGACAGTTCAATGTTGTCACTCAGGACCTGTGTTCTTCACACCCTTCTCCTTAGTCATCCAAAGCTTGTTGGTTTTTATTCTCAGCCATAAAGCATTACAGCCCAAAGATGGTGACCACATTCTCATACTCCAAAGTACAAAAAAGAAAATAAGGAAGTGATGTCAAAAATGGGGATATCTACTCACTCCTGTCAGAATCCCAGATATCTCCCAGGCCCAGCAGCCTCCTCTGGCTCCAATGGCAAGAATTGAGTCAAATGCCTACTTTTGGGCTTACCGTGGGCAGAGAAGAAAGCACTGCTATTAATGATCAATCCTGATGCATCCCATTTGGGGGTAGAGGGGCAAAAAGAATAGGAAACTGCTGGGTATGCAAGAAACATTTTCCAACTCTTCTGCTATGTTACATGAACCACACTAAACCCTATTTTCTTCAGAACCTTCAAGCTGTTAAGATTCTTCAACCCTTTCCTTTTTTTCTCTTGATATTTTACTCATTAAGCCTTTTCCTACAGAAAAAAAAACCTATTTTTGCTTCAAATCGCCTATTAAAACATTTACTTTGACAACCAAAAGGTTTCTTTCACTGACTTTTTACAAACTCACTTTCTGCATTCTAATTCTTTTTCTTTGCAAAAATCCTGAGACATATCACATTTTCAAAAGGGAAACACATTTATTTTGTCGCTTCCTTTCCACTCTTCATATATACGTCTGTTTCTGAGCTACGTTAGGAACTTCTGAGGCCAAGAACATGTCTTTTCTCCTTTTTATAATTGCCAGCATTCATAAGTGCTAAATGTACTTGACTTATCCTTTCCCTTTATGGTTAATCAGAAATATGTAAGCTTTAATAGGAAGCAATAGGAATCAGAATCTTATAGCCAAAAAGCACTGGTCATATTACAAACACCCTCTACTAACTTGTATATATTAAATTATTTGCATACTTGCTTCTTGCTGTCATTAGAACATCCCAGAACACCATGTATTTCATTCCACCTTTTCTAACATCTTTCACAGAAACAAAGAAAGGAGCTGGGTTTCCATGGTAACAGAAGTATGATAGTTGGGGGTATCTGGGCATAAGTGAAATAACTCTCAGATTCAGTGGGAAGAAGAAGAATAAAGTTTTTCTTTTTTTTCTCTCCCAGCAATGCACTTCAGAAGCTAGAGACCCTGAAGTGTCACTGTACAGTGTTAAGTCTTCACAATCATACAGATTTACAGCTCTTGGGGAAAATTCGATTTCATTTCATCTCATTTTTATCTTGTCTTTCTCATAAACATGTAGACACAAATTTTTATTAGGTTACTCTCAAAATAGAACATTCATGCTGGGGATGATTAAGGATAGGGAGACAGACACCCAACTCCCACCCAAATCTTCAAAATTCTCTACATGTCCTGACATCCTTTCTTATAGCAGCTAAACCTTCAACCAGCATTTCACATACAGACCACCATACAAGACAGGTGAGAAAATGTGTTTCTACTTACCTTTCTTTTGCCTCTTAGTGATGAAAAACCCACTTTTATGGCAGCATGGTGAATGAAAATTGAGGCCTGTCAATATCAGACATAAGAGGTACAATTATCCTGAGACCTACAGTCTCTACACTTCTCCTGATCAAGGAAATCAGCATTGATGAAAGGTCAGGGAAGATAGCCGGAGAAAGGTCAAAAAGTTCTCTTATTCTCTATTGTCCTAAGTGGAGTGACAAAGGAGCAAACTCACTATGTGTGTGTGTGTGTGTGTGTGTGTGTGTGTGTATGTGTGTGTGACAACTTCTATCAGATGCACTACAATCCAGAGCTTCTCAACTTCTAGGGACGTAAGAAATGAAACCAGTTGCTTAAGCTTACATCTGGACCCAGAACCCAAATGCAAATTTCTAAAATAAAGTAAAAATCACTGAACCTTTACTCCTTGCAAAGTGAAAGGCTTTTCAGCTGCACTGGAATGCAAGGCACTACCCAGGTACTAAACAGAGAGAAAATTTGGTGCTTCTTAACTCTATTAACACCTCCCCCATCCCCCCAAGAAAGCCTAAGAAATTCTTATCACAATGCACAATTTGAATTTTAAAAGAGACAGACAGCCTGTTGGTTTGTTTGTAGCTGTTACTAAGCTAACGTAACAACCAATGAACACACATGTTTTACACAAAATGTAAGGCTTCTATAAACCTAGGTGAACACTGTGTTCTTCTATAAAATCTCTTGAAACATCCCTTCCAAAAAAAAGCTCAGATATGAAGCTTCATTTCATATCTATGTGAGCTCTCTTAATTTTAATTCACTTATTCACATTACTAGATTAGAATAAAATATCAGATCATCTTTAGTTTCAATTATCTTAAAACATTCTTTTGCAAATTGCCTTCACTGCCAATTCTGGCAGCTCAGGTATAACTTTTCGTATGTGATATAATCAAGGAATAATGACTGAGTTATATTCTACTACATATTTTGACAAGACACGTGCCCTCCATTATTTTAAACAAAAATTTGGTGTGTGTTATACTATAGATAGATAATGCAAATGTAAGTTATCCATTCTAATATAATGGAGCGAAAAGGGGCACTGCCAAACTGGAGTGCATCTATGTAGAAGTTTTGATAAGTGACAGAAAAGATGATAAAGGAACACCTGGTTTTTCAGGGAACCCAGATCAGAATCCCCTCGACACGACGACCTTGTGAGGAAGAAGAGAGAAGAGGTATGCCATGATAAAACATCAGAACTATAGAAACGTACTGTTCCCAAGAAATGTGACATAGCAATGGATGAATGCAGACTAGTTTGAGAAGGACATCGTTTACGGAAGGTAAATTCAATAACAATTACAAAATATAATCCAGAATACTTGGGGTTATAACTTCTAAATTTGACGCTATGGGTAAGAGAGAGTGTGTAATTAACATCTAGCAATACAGAGAAACAGAAGGTAAGTTTTAGAACTGAACTGTAGGAGGGACGCACGGAGGACCCGTGCAGCTGCTGCAGTACGTCTTCTGAAGCACGGAAAAATGCCTCACCCTGCAGACAAAAGTCCCTGTTTTCTCCATTCATCCCACAGTTCAGCCCACAGCCCTCAGCACTATTTTCATGCTCGTCATTTAGGTAGGATGCCGCGGAGACAGTTAAAAGCGGCATTTACCACTCTCGCCTGAAAAGCATCTTGCTCCAGGTCCTCAGCCTGGACTCCGCCCAAACCCCACTAGCCCTGGGGGTGTCTCCACACTCCCCGCCCTTGGTGGCAGGGGAATCGCGAATTCTGGTTGGCTCAGCTCGAGCTTCGTCATTCGTCAGCTCACCTACGATTGGCTGGCGGCGCACGCGCAGGAGCAAAAGCCCCGCCTGGCCAGGCAGTGGGAGGTGGGCCGGCTGTTCCTGCCACTAGCGGTTTTTCCCCCATGGGCGGCGGGAGGTGGGTGGCATGGGAAACACGTGGTACGAAGCGAACCTCTCAAGAACGGTAGCACGGGGTCCAGAGACGCGGTCTGGTTGGCTGGAATGAACCCCAGCTTCCTACTGGTCTCCTAGCTGGCTGTTACTATGAGGCGCACCTGCGGTCCGGGGCTCCGCGCTCCCGGTTTTCCAAGCGCCCACAGCTGACAGGGCGTGGGAAGGGCTCCATTTCAGCCCAGCGCTGAAGAAGGGCGGGGCTGGGGGGAAGGTGGCCCGATTCCCGGCGACGTCCCCGGGCGTGGGCCGGGTTTCCTTAGTCTCTGGCCTTCGTCTCGGCATGGATTGCAGTGATCTGTCACCTCTCACTCAGTGTCCTGACCCTTAAATCAACGCTTAATTTTATTGTATTTATCTTCGGCCCCTTAAACAAAGCTCGCTGTGTTTATACAACTTAAAATTCAAGCTCTCCGGCATACTGACAGACTGGGTCGTGTCGGGAAAGACCCTCATGCCAAGGCCGCCTATTGCACCTTGTCCATCTCTCCTTTTCACTTCCCTCCTTAGATACTGCTGGAGGCTGGTCTGGTCCCTCTAACGGCCTCTAACCTCTTGTCCCCGCCAAATTCTGAGCGTGGGATTCTCAGGTGGACGCGGTTCCCAGCGCAGGCGGACAAACTGCGCACGCTCAGTACGCCCGCCCAGTGGCGGGCCCGGGAGTGCGGGCCAGGAGGTTGTTGGGTGGCCGAGGTGGTTGTTTACCTAAGTGCGGGCAGAGGCTTCCGCCCCGCGCAGAGCCTCCCGGGAGCGCGCGGCCG